CTCTTGATTTTTTGTCATTCTTTCTTGAGAAATCATGACCTTGCGTGTGGTTTATTGTGTTGGTGGAGGATAAGGACTTGGTGTATATATAGGCTACAATAGGGACCCAAAAGAGGTGTTGAATATGAGCTCGCAATTCGGATCCAACTGTGGGCTTAGCCCACTCGACACACAATTGAATAATATTTCATACAACTAAAGAAATATTACTGAAGTCTCTCATTTAACCCCCGATTTACAAATAATTCATCCCTCGGTAATTACTCGAATTACCTCCCCATCTTTAAGATATAACATTCGTTGATTAATTTAACTACTAATAATAAAATTAATCAACTTCTCGAACCAAAATTTGTACCATTCATTTCATTATCATTATGTGGAAATTAATCCGCCTGTAGGGCTTGGCATAATGATCCTTCTTGAGCTCATTTCATGGGAATCATCAACCTAGACAAACTGAGACATGGTGATCGTAAATTATTTTAACAGCACATCATGTATTTGGCATTACTTACGAAAAATACCATGTCTATCGACTTAACAGAATAAGTCTAGCTCTTGGCAAATTAAATAAGTAACGACCAAATACATATGTCCGTTATTGTCTTACGGGTTAAGACAACACATCAATTATTAAGGTCCATATTATTTACTTGGTCAGTATAAAATAATCTTATCCTTCATAGATACGTTCAATACATCCAAGATGTACTAGTGTAATTTGTTAGTGTTGACTGTGGGCCTGCCAAACAGTTAAGGAAATTGCGTTTGGGGTGGTTTAATCGTGGGTTACGATATAATTATGGTATGATTTAGATATGGAAAGATTTCTCGAATCGTAAATGTGCATAATAATATGAGACACAGATTTTGCCGATCAACTGTAACGACCGGTAAGAAGAAGGTTTCTCCAAGATGTTTACTATGAATAGTATATGAAAATTACAGCTGAATATTTTGTGTATGATCTACAAGAGATCCAATGTAGAGAGTGCAATCGCGATGATCTTTGGAGGATTAGCCGAAGTGGGCTTATTTTTTGATATGATCTCACTACCTTCTTCTGGGCTTGAGAGCTGGTTTTTATACACGAAAAAGGTGTTGGTGCATTAAAGGAGGAGTGTTAGCTAGGGGTGTAGGGTGGCGCTGCGTGTTTCCATGCAAAAGTTGATGGGACACGTCGGGCGATGCTACCAACTTCTTCAGGGGTTGTTCAGACGATCAGAACGATCGTCAATCTTCCTCGAGAACTTCTGCGGGTGATCTTCGTGTTCATAAGCTGCTTTATTATTATAATTTTAAAGAAAGTGAGCTGGAGAAAGAAACTAGAATTTGCACATATTTCGGTTGTTTTTTGAGTAATTGGATATTTGGTTCTGAAGTTCAAAAAACCTTGAAATTTTGTTATGAAAGATTAAAAATCTTGTTAGTCTACGTGTATTCGGTGCATTTAATATTCTTTATTTGGATTGTTGGAACAATGCTTCTTTGGAAGCAAAATATAAAAATAAGATTATATTTTTAATAAAAATTGTCTTGTTTGTAATAACTAATTATGTGGTCATTTTATATTTTGTTTGATGACAATTACTTAAAATTTCCAATTTAGAGCCCATTCTATATCACATAACATGGGTATGGGTGCTTGAATGTTCATAGTAAACATGATTATTTAATTTTATGTATGCATTCAACATGACATTTCATGGTTTCTTATATAATAGCTCATCTTCATAGTAAACATGATTATTTAATTTCATATATGCATGCAACATGACATTTCATGGTTTCTTATATAATAGTTAATTTTATTTTTATTTTTTTACATAATCCATCTTGGAAGAGGCCATTGGCGGAAAAAAACAACGAGAGAAAGATTCTCGCCAACGAGAAAAAGATGGTTGAGAGTGAAGGATCAAGAACATGTTCACCTGAAAAATATCACCTTTAGCTCGTCTTCCAAACAGAAAAAAATATGTTTGAATCTTTAGATTGAGTTTTGCGATACACTACTATCTACAAAGTAAGAATGGTATACATCGAGCTACTGCTTTTGGTAGTTAATTGCATCCTTATGTGAATATGATGGCAGTTACATATATAGAGTAATGGTTGTCATTGTCATTGATTTGGTGGGAATTTTAAATTTTGGCTTTCAGTTGGAGATTAAACAAAAAAAACGCGTATTGAGCGAGCACAGTTGGTAAGTAACCATCTATGTTTACTTTCAAATTATTGCACAACAGTAACCCGCTATATTTATTTCCAAGAAAACAATTATAAACAAACTTAATACATGTAATCAATTCCAATGTAAATTTGGAGGAACCACATCAAGAGCAACTAGTGGCGTTCCTTTAAAATAACAATAAACGTTATAGAGTGGATATAATTTAAGGACATGAGAAGAAACTGACACAGAATCGTGCTGCTTACAAATTTGTAGACAACAGTGGCATTCTGGAGGGTTGTATATGCAGGTTCACCAACCTGTACACCAAATGAAGTTATTACTTTCAAAATTCAGAGTTCAGAATTTTTTCCTTGCAAATTCTAAGGCAGTTTTCATATTCATGGTTGGCTGGAAAATATTATTTGATTATTTTGTATTAATGCTTGATATATTTTCAGGTTATTTGAATACTAACTTTGGGTTTAATTAAGGTTCAATATTTTTCTTGACTTTGATGAATGAAACAACTTGTACATTCTTAAAAGTAAGTTAATAAATAATAATAACATTTAACAACTACCGGGGGATAAAGTTTGACCCAACTATGCAATTATTGAATAATTATTTTAGGTGACATTGTAGATCAAATTGGGGCCAAATGTGGTGGTGTTATATACTGAAAGCTTGGCTTTGGATTATATTTACACTTTATCTTTGTTGAATGAGAATCATATTTGAGTAAACAAGTTCTATGTTCTGTTGTTTTGCACTTAGACAAAATGGTTCATTAGCGGGTGAACAGAAGATCATTTTATCAGTCACTTGCGAAACTAGAATTGATGGTTCACAACCTAGATGAAAATGAATAAACCAACGCAACAGTTGTAGTGTCAACTGTACAATTGGTCTTGACTGATTAGTTGCACTAGTACATTTATGTATTGAACAAGATCCCAGAGAGTAGTAGTTTGTTTTATATCGATCGTCGTAAACAAACTTAGTCTCGGTTAATTACTGTGTTCTCTTAATCCGTAAGATATAAACAAACATGTGCATGTTGTAGCTTTTACTTTGATTCCATAAAGGTGAGATTCATTTAGTTTGGTCGACATTCCTAATGTTTTGGGTAATAGTACTGCATGTACGATGTGCTGTTAGAATATTTGCGGTCACCATGTCCATCTGTTTGATGATGTCTCCGAAGTGAGTTCATGAAGGATTATTATGTTAAACCCTGCAGGTGGATTAAGTTCCGACATAATGATAATGTGATGAACGGCGCTAGCTTCAATTTACAAGATGTTAATTAATTCTTGATTATCCATAATTGAATTAATTAATGGACATTACATCTTAAACATGGGGAGGTAATTCGAGTAATTATAATTGGAGTCTCGAATATAATTTCGAGGATGATGAGGGAGTTCAATAATGTTTTCGTTAGTGGACCGAGATATTATTTAAGTATTGGCAAAAGTGGGCTTGACTCATAATTATGCCCAATACTTAAAGAGCCCAAATCATCACCTCCTTAGGATCCCTACTGTAGCTCTATAAATACATTATTAAGCTCATGGGATTGAGGAGAGACAAGAGATAAAAGAGCAGAAAACCTATCGTGTATAACACAGGATCGGCCGCCCCATCATACTCCCTCTCTAGTTTCCATAGTTGAGCTTTGTCTTCGTTTTGTTGCTCCACCGATACAATTCGAAGAGGTGTTCGAGATATACAGTAGAAGATCCCAAGGTACCGAGACCCCGTGATCATCAACCGACGTTCAACCCCGTGACCGCCGGCCACCCGACCACCGTCGAGCATCGCGAGCCGCAGCCCGCGCACTCCGATGACAGCTGCAGCCAGCCGCAACTCGTATGCAGTCGG